AGGGAGGGACTATCCCTGTGCAAAAACTCTTCTCAGTGTCTGAGCAGAGGAGGAGCTAAGGCAGGCAGGAGGAGGCATGGGAGATAAGTCAACAGAGAACATGCAAAAGAAGCAGGCATAGCAATGGGGTTTAAAGTGTGTATTCTTTATGAGCTGGGAAATCAAATTCCATCGAAGCTCAAGGAGCTGAGGCCACCGCCATTCACTTAACTTCGAACCAATCTGAAATATGGAGATTTGATGCTGAACTTACTTGCAATGTTAGAATAACTGAATGTTGCTCGCTGGTAGAGCATGAATAACATTCCAGGTTCAATCCTTGGATTTCTTTCTTTCTTTTTTCCAATCTTATTTCTGAATTTTTCACAAAGAAAGAAAAACTTTACAAATCTTAACATAAACCATAAGTTACCTTATCAATTGATTTCCTATCCTCCCCTTCCATCGTTTCCATATTTACCCTTAAATGCTGCATATTATGCCTATACTGTTCAATACATTCAATTTAACCCATTTTTCTTAATAATTCATGCAATTGCTCATATTTCAAATCCTGCTCACATTTTCATCTCACTATAGTAGTTCTTTAAATACTCAATAAAAAGTTTCCAGTACTCAAGGATTTTTATTATTATTATTAGTCATTTTGGTCTCTAATTTTCAATGTTAATTTTGCTAGTTCCAGGTCTTCCATCATTTCCAAAAGCCAATCTTCCTTTGTTGGAGGTCACATTCTTTCCATATTAAGGCATACAATACTCGTGCTGCTTTCATTGTGTACATAAATAAGTTAAGCAGCTCTTTTGGAACATCATTATCTACAATTCCTGAAAGAAAAGCTTCGGGTTTCTTGGTAACCATCAACTTAAACATCTTTTCCATCTCATTATATATCATTTCCCAGTAGCCCTTAGCTTTTTTGCAAGTCCACCACATGTGAAGAAATGTTCCTTCTGTCATTTTGCATTTCCAACACACACTTGACTTAGTTTTATACGTTTTGGGAGTGGGGTACATATGTTTGAATCTTCCCCTAGCTATCCAGCAGCTTTTTTCTGAATGTTCCAACTTGTGCTGTAGCTCTACTACCACTCGTGGGTTCTTTATTTTTTAGCGGGGAGAATAATACTTAAGCTATGTGTTCTGCTCACACACCAGGACTGTCCTTTATTATTTTAAGTTAGAGTTCTCCAACCTGGCATTTTCTTGGACTACAGCTCCCATCAGCTCCAGTCAGCAGATATGGTGGTTCAGGCTGATGGGAATTGTAGTTTGAAACAGCAGGAGGGCACCAGGTTGGAGAAGCCTGGCTTAAAGCAACTAACCAGCCAATCAGCAATTGTCTACAGTATTTTGATGAAACAATTAAGGCTCTGCATCTTATCTAGCCTGCAGTGTGCCTTTCCCCCCACCAGGTGGTGGCATCAGTCCAGTTGCAGGAATTTCCTACAGACTCTCATAGGTCTGGTTCTTCTTCTTTTACATCAGTTTTGGAACATATAAGAATCCCAGCCTGGATTAGATCTAAGGTTCTTCTAGTGGAAATGCTAAACACCTACAATCACAACTTGGCTGAATGGATGCTTACAGGAATCCCATGAGCGGGGTGTGAAGACAACAGCCCTCCAAAACTGTAACTAATCATAAGCCACTGGTTTTCTGTGGTTGGGATGATGATGATGATAACAACAACAACAAATTTATTTATACATACATACATACATACATACATACATACTCCACCCATCTGGTGGGTTTCCCCAGCCACTCTGGGCGGCTTTCAACAGAACATTAAAAACAGAATAAAACATCAAAAAATTAAAAACTTCCCTAAACAGGGCTGCCTTCAGGTGTCTTCTAAAAGCCAGATAGTTGTTTGTTCCCTTTACATGATGGGAGGGCATTCCACAGGGAGGGGACCACTACTGAGAAGGCCCTCTGCCTGGTTCCCTGTAGCCTCACTTCTCGCAATGAGGGAACCGCCAGAAGACCCTCAGAGATGGACCTCAGTGTCTGGGCAGAACGATGGGGGTGGAGACACTCCTTCAGGCATATAAAAACATGCATATGTATGTTTGTGTATCTGTGTTTGCTTGCTTTTTCTTCTTGTTTTATTTGTTTGCAGATATGTGCATGATGTTTATCTGATGTACGTGTGTGCATGCATGCTCCGAGTATCCCTGCTTTCTCTTAACCGACAAGCGTGCTTTGTGATGTCTGAAACAGGTCCTTATATTTTCCAATGTACCCCCCCCCCAAAAAAAAATGTCAGAGACTCTAACCATTAAGTCATAGCCATGCATAGAGTCATAGCACCTGCAGAACTGAACCCACTGTAACTAAAAATCCATCTGCTCTAAAGAAAACCACAGGTTTTAAGCCGCAGACACAATTTTTAATCACTCCAAAGTCTTGGTTTTCCACTGACGCCATACTTGCTTTCTTCCACCAGGTGGCAATGGGAAAGTCCCCTTTCACTAAATACAGAAGGCTCTTCCCCTTCTGAGGTTTTCCTCTAACCCTGTTTTCACAAAAGAACCACGATTCTCCTTCTGACTGTCAGAGGAGAGCTGAGAAAAGGAGAAGAGAAAGCACACGTAGAGAATTCGTTGAGTTGGAGAAGACAACCTTAGTTTCTCCGCTGAATTTCCAGAGTGGACCAGAAGGAATCCTTGACGGCGAAAATATCCATGTCCTTCAGGATGTCCTCAGGAGTCCAGCTAGCTCAGTGGAGGATTCTTTTGGGGCTATTTTGGCTGTGTAAGTTGGGGAATCCTTAGAAATTTGGGAGAGTGCCATAGCCCAGAGGGAGATGGTCTCCTTTGCATGCAGAAGACCCCAGTTTCAGGCAGGACCTTGACATCAACCCTGTTTGGGAAATCCTGGAGAGCGGCTGTCAGTGTAGACAATACAGCTAGATGGGACAGTGGCCTGACTCTGTATAAGGCAGCTCCTATGCTTAGAGAAAATGTTGATAATAGAAAATAGGTAGAAATGTCTCCTCTACACTCACCTACATCCACTCTGGGATCTTTCTCTAGCTTCACTTCAGTTGATTCCATTGATCCACTGCAGAGTAGAATCTAGGCATAATGCCTCTATGACTCCTAGGAGGAGGAGGAGACAAGTTACAATTTCAATATTATGAACACAACCACCAATAATAGAAAGAGATGTACGGCTGGAATGAGACACACAATGAAACCCTTATTAGATGTATAGCTATTGTTCTTTTAATAATAATAATAATAATAATAATAATAATAATAATAATAATAAGATGTTATCAGATACTGTTAGTGATGAAGGACTATTAACTGCAATCAGAAAGGTCAAAATGGTGCATATTTATAGGAGATTTCAAGACAATGTGACCCTAAGAGCTCTACTGAGTCAGACCAAAAGCCTCTAGTCCAGGATTTGGTTCTCACAGTGACCAGCCAGGTGTCTATGGGATGTCAACAAACAGGACTTGAGTGCCACAGGGCTCTCCACACTTGCAATTCCAAGAAAATGATGTTTGCTTGGTGTATGCTAGAGACTATATAGACATCATGGGTAGCAGTTGCTGTGGATTGTTTAGGAGGCAGGGTGGGATATCAAATAATTAATAAATCAAGGAAACAAGAAAACAAGAAAAATTAATAGTAGTAGCTGTTGATAAGCTTACCCTTCATCAATTTGCTTCATCATATTTTAAGGCTGTTCAAGTTGGCAGTCACCACAAGGGTAGCAAAAGCCATCGCTTGAATGGAAATGTCTGAAGGAGGGAGAGAGCCTTGAGAAGGATAGATGGAGTGATGGGTGGATGAATGAGATGACCAAATTAATGATGTTGAAGTAAGAGGCAGAAAGACAGAGTCAGCTGGAGAGAGATGGGGGTTCACAAGCAACGTCTGATAAACAGTCAGAAACTCAGCATGAGAAGTCATGGAATAACATTGATTCCCCCACAGGTGGAGATATCAGTGGTGATGCTTCTCAGCTTTCTGAAGTCTACTTTTCCTCAGGAGAAACAGCTCGGATCTCCTGCAAACATGGACTCTCTTCATACACTGTGGTCTTCTGGTACAAGCAAACCCAAAATGCAGCCCCTTACTCAGTCATCCACAGTTACTCTAAAACTGAGAAGAAAGGACGGCTGGAGATGGACACTGACGAAGGCAACCTGTCTACAGAGCTGTCCATCAGCAAGGTGGAGATGGGGGACGCCGGGATCTACCATTGTGCTGCAAGTGACACAGTGGTGGGAAATGCAAGGCGAGCTGTGCAAAAACCTTCACTGCACTGAAGGTTCACTTCTGGGAGAGCTACATGCACATCCCACTGTACGTAATGAGTCATTAAGAAGGAATCACTGGCCTAGGTCAGAAATGTCACCTTGTTTTCTTCTAATTGTCCCATTATGGCAAGGACAGCGAATGCTGTGCCCTTCAGAAGTTGGAAATAACCAGCGTCATTCAACATGGGGAATGGTAAGGGATGAAGAAAAACCTTTCCACAAACATCTGGAGGGCACTGCATTGACCACCCCTACATTATGGGGTAGTAGTGGAACAACCAGATGCCCACAAGATGTTTTGGACTACAAGTCCTTCTAGCCCCATCCAGCTGTACAGCTGTACATGATAATAAAATGTATCTGTTAATCACCCTCTGAAGGACCAAACTCAGTAATGTGCTACTTTGAGAGCAGCTTCTTGGATTCCAAAATGTACGCCCAAAAGTGTTGGGAGACCCTTGGCATGAGGTCAGATCTGTTAAAGGGAGCTGATAGCACCTGACGATGTGACCCCAGTGTAACTTAAAATCCATCTGCTCAAAAGAAAACCACAAGTCGGAAGCCACAAACACATTTTGTAAGAAACCCTGCTATCTTTGTTTTCTTCCACTAGGTAGCAATGAGGAGTCATTCTTGCTTCACCAGCTGTGGTTTATTCTAGCTGTGTTAACTTAAGATGTTCACAATTCTACTTCTGACTAGCAGGAGAGAGCTAAAAATATAGGAAAAGAGAAAGTGCACATTGATAATTCATTGAACTGGAGAAGACGGCGACCTTAGTTTCTTCTGAATTTCCAGACCTTACTAGGAGGGATCTGCGTTTGTGAGAGCGTCCGCGTTCTTCAGAATGACCTCAAGAGTCCACCCAGCTCACTGGATTCTCCTTGGGCTATTTCTGCTGTGTAAGTTGGGGAATCCTTAGAAATTTGGGAAAGGGATGGAGCTCAGTGGTAGAGCTTTGCATGCAAAGGACACCAGGTTCATTCTCTGGGTTCTCCAGGTAGGGCTTAGAGAAAACACACAATTGAACTTTTATTAGCAGTTGTCACCGAGTGATAGCTAATATATAGCTACAGATTTCAGAATTAGATGCCCTTGGCATGTAACTGATATTAGACACAGTTATTTACTAATTACTATTAACTTACTCAGTAAGATCATCATCGCAATTGTGTATATCTATGGAAGATTCCAAGGAAATGTGAACATGAGAACCTTGTGGAGTCAAACCAATATTCTGTCTAGTCAAGGATCCTGTTCTTAGAAGGACCAAGCAGATGTCTCTGGGATGTCTGCAAGCAGGATGTCAGCACAACAGCACTCTTCCCACTTGGAAAGTTCACCATCTGGTAGTGAGAGGCATGTTTAAGAGCCATGAAGTTATGGAACAATGATGATTTTTCTTTTTCCAGGCAGAGATATCAGTGGTGATGCTTCTCAGCTTTCTGAAGTCTCCTTTTCTTCTGGAGAAACAGCTCGGATCTTCTGTAAACATGGAGTCTCTAATTATAATGGGGTCTTCTGGTACAAGCAAACCAGAGATGCAGCCCCTTCCTTAGTCATCTACAGTTACTCTAAAACTGAGAAGAAAGAACGGTTGGAGATGGACACTGACAAAGGGAATCTGTCTACAGAGCTGTCCATCAGCAAGGTGGAGATGGGGGACGCCGGGATCTACCATTGTGCTGCAAGTGACACAGTGGTGGGAAATGCAAGGCGAGCTGCACAAAAACCTGAAGAGCTTTGATCCTCTTCACTGAGCTGAAGGTTCATCTCAGGGACACCCATGTCACACTTTTTATGAATGAGTCATTCAGAATAAATTACTGCCCTAGTTCAAAAATTTCACCACCTCTTTTTCTCCTTGGCCATGATAGCCATATGGTGTTGTCCCCTCTATTTCCAAAGTACAAGGGTGTGTGTGTGTGTGTGTGTGTGTGTGTGTGTGGATTCTCATGTAGCCAAAACAGCATAATCCATTCACAAAAGAGTGGCATTAGCAAATTTTGGGATACCCAATGTTTCCCACAGTACCAAAATTGTGTTTGTTTGTTTGTTTGTTTGTTTGTTTGTTTGTTTGTTTGTTTAAAAAGCAATGTAGAAAAGCATCTTTGAAAACAATGATTGTGGATTGCCAACTGATTATTACAAGGTGGAAATAGAAAAGTTGGATGTGAGTGGAATAGGGTTTCCTGAAGTAGGGCAAGGATGAACTGGACTATCTACAATAATTTGTCGCAGATCTCTCTCCTCCCCCTCCCTATTCATCTTCTGGTTTAGTGTTTTCTAAAGAAAAGCATAATTCAAGTAACTGTCTATGATATATTAACACTTCACAGTGTATTCAAACTGACAATCATAATTTAGGATCCAATCTTATGAAAGTGTGGGAGAAATTCTCCATTGAGGGCACACAGAAGTTTTAGCTAGTGGGAAGCAACATATAATAAGAGATTGAGAAATTCCCCTTGAGAATTCTAATATGGAGGCTCACACAAAATTCAGTAATGCATGACTGAACAGAGTTCAAAGAGTTTGCAAGAGCAGAATATATAGGCAAATATGCATTATCTTAACTGTTCTTCCACCACTCTACCACCTTCTGCCAACCTGGCATGTCACCATCTCTCTTCCAACCACAGTCCATTAAGTACAACTTACTCAACCCATTAATTACTTCATGAATCAGAAACCTCCTTGTACCTGGTTCTTTCCTGCCTTGTGGTCAAGTCATGGACTTGTGTACATAACATTGGCTTCAATAATAATGAGCCGAACAGTGATCCCACCTCAAAGTTGTTCCTCCAAACTGAAAATTTGATTATTATTTTCCAAATACAAGGTTGTGACTTGGAACAGGAACTATATTGAGACAAGGGGCAGTGGCTCAGTGTGACTGCAACACAAGCTCCTCACCAGATCTGTGTTGCAAGCCAAAGAACTGAAGGTTTGAGCTCATGCAGATTTTTGGAAAGAGAAGTGGGTGGGTTCTTGAAGAGGGCTGGCCAGTCAAATAGGCAAACAATGCGAAGCAGCATGATTCAAGGCTCTCCTCCCCACTAGAGATCCTACATGAGGATTATCTGTGGAGCTGCTTCCATCATGGCCCAGTCCCCGCCCAATCTGCCTCTGAGTCTGTATCTCATGGGGGAGACTGGAGTACCATGACTCAAGGGGCCCTGGATCCCCCTGCTCTGCCTCAGTGTCCATTGACACAGCCTGCTCCCCTGCAACATGTACTTTGGGGGGAGTCCTTCTCTGAAGAAGATTCTTCCCCCAAGGACATGAGAGTTCTGATATGTCAGGAGAGTGACACATGAGTGCAGTCTGCCATCTTGGTTTAAATCATTGTCCTCTTACAAGCAAACATAGGCCGATAGCCCTTCCTCATTCTTAAGCACCACTGTGCAAAACTGGGTTGTGCCATTTTCAAATCAGAGCAATTATTATGTTCAGTCCTCCATCATAACTTCAAAATGATGTCCAATAGTATTCAAGCAGAGATGGAAAAACTTCTCCTTGATCTCAGGAAGCATCGGGCCTATTTTGGTTATGATATCCTAAGACGTGTCTGGACAGATAGAGAACAGATGGACAAATAATGTTCCAAAACATGTAGACAGTAGTTAAGTAATACTACTGCTGCTACGAATAATATTTATATCCCACTCTTGCTCCCGAAGGAGCCTTGGGCAGCAAGCAGATCCACAATTTGAAAAATAAAAACGTACACAATAATACTTGAACAGTTGTAGTTAAGAATGTAGCATGTAGAAGGACTTTTTCCTTAGCAGGATGAGAAAAAAGAAAACCCAGAGGTTTCCTTAGAAGAATAAGCCTCAGGGACAATGTTAGATGTTGGAGGTCCCGCCCTGGGACCTGCAGGTATGGGGCAGTAAACAAATTTAATAAATAATAATAATAATTTAAGAATTTCTAGTGTGCGTCGTGCTTTAACTGGCAACCTCCTTTATCATAACTTTGCTGCTCCTGCCCAGCCTTTTGCAGGAATATGGTCTTGAACAGGTTGCTAGGCAACAGAAAAACCTACGGAGCAAACAGGTGCCTTTATTAAGGACATGTGATCAATAAGGGTCAGTGTAAAAGTGTCAGTGTGCAAATAAGCATGAGTCAGCATTAGGTCTGGAAGGCCGGAAGAGGAAAAGATTCTGTTATGTTATTTTATTTGTATTCGATCAGTGTAATTTTTGTTAGATAATAAAGATACTAAATTAAAAAAGAAACTCTGCTGCAAGTCTGTTAAAGAAGAAAACCCAAGAGTAGATTGTGAACACATCAACACCTTTGATGTAGAATACACACAACAGATTGTGCCTACTCTCTCCCGTTTTCCTAGAAACTCATTGCATCATTTGCATTTAAAAGCATCACTTTCAGGGATCCCCAAGGTGGCGCCCTTTGGCAATCTCCCTTGGTGGATATCAAGGGCCCCTGATCCTCTGAATTTTTTATTTCTAAAAAAGTGTATAGATTGCGGGTGTTTCAGGGAAGGTTACCTGGGTTTTTTTTTGATCCAGGTGGCTTTATTTGCTTAAGTGTTTCACCTGGTTTGTGATGGGGTGCATGTGCGTTCTGAGCATCTGTTTTTCCTTCTGTGAGACGAGTGCTTTGTGGTGTCCACAGCAGTTTCTTGGATTCCAAAATGTACCCCCAAAAGTGTTGGGAGACCCTTGGCATAAGGTCAGATCTGTTAAGGGGAGCTGACAGCACCTGACGATGTGACCCCAGTGTAATTTAAAATCCATCTGATCAAAAGAAAACCACAAGCCGGAAGCCACAAACACAATTTGTAAGCAACCCTGCTATTTTTGTTTTCTTCCACTAGGTAGCAGTAAGGAGTCATTCTTGCCTCACAAAACCCTTCATTAGCTGTGTTAACTTAAGATTTTCACAATTCTACTTCTGACTAGCAGGAGAGAGCCAAAATAAAAAGGAAAAGAGAAAGCACACATTGCTAATTCATTGAACTGGGGAAGACGGCGACCTTAGTTTCTTCTGAATTTCCAGACCTTACTAGGAGGGATCTCTGTTGGTGAGAGCATCTGGGTTCTTCAGAATGACCTCAAGAGTCCACCCAGCTCAGTGGATTATCCTTGGGCTATTTCTGCTGTGTAAGTTGGGGAATCCTTAGTAATTTGGGGAAGGGACGGAGCTCAGTGGTACAGCTTTGTATGCAAAGGAAACCAGGTTCATTCTCTGGGTTCTCCAGGTAGGGCTTAAAGAAAACCCCTCTCTGAAAATTCTGGAGGGCAGCTGCCAGTCAGTGTAGACAATATTGAGCTAGATGGAACAAGGGACCAATTCAGTATACGGCAGCTTCCAAAGCTTACGGAAAATATTAACCCTTAACAAGAGGAGAAAAGTAGCTAATAATGTCTACTCCACAGAAATATCCTTACTTTGCTATTCCCTCTGGGATCTCTCTGTCTATCCTCCGTTCAGTGGATTCCATTTGTCCAATGACCAACATAAGCTAGTACCATTCCTACTACTATGAGGAGGAGAAGCCATATGGCAATGATTATTACCAGTACTACCAGTAATAGAAGCTGGTATAGATCTGGAATTGAACTGTTCACACGATTTAACCTTTATTAGCTAATGGTCGCTAAGTGATATCAAATGTATTGCTACTGATTTTTAGAATTTGATACTCCTGGTGTGTAACTGATATTAGACACAGTTATTGACTTATTACTATTAACTGTAATCAGTACGATCATCATGGCAATTGTGTATATCTATGCAAGATTCCAAGGAAATGTGAACATGAGAACCTTGTCAAGTCAAACCAATATTCTGTCTAGTCAAGGATCCTGTTCTTAGAAGGACCAAGCAGATGTCTCTGGGATGTCTGCAAGCAGGATGTCAGCACAACAGCACTCTTCCCACTTGGAAAGCTCGCCATCTGGTATTGAGAGGCATGTTGAAGAGCCATGAAGTTATGGAACAATGATGGTTTTTCCTTTTCCAGGCAAATATGTCAGTGGTGATGCTTCTCAGCTTTCTGAAGTCTCATTTTCTTTGGGGGAAACAGCGCGGATCTCCTGTAAACACGGACTCTCTACATATGATTCGGTCTTCTGGTACAAGCAAACCCAAAATGCAGCCCCTTCCATAGTCATCTACAGTTACTCTAAAACCGAGAAGAAAGAACGGTTGGAGATGGACACTGACAAAGGGAATCTGTCTACAGAGCTGTCCATCAGCAAGGTGGAGATGGGGGACGCCGGGATCTACCATTGTGCTGCAAGTGACACAGTGGTGGGAAATGCAAGGCGAGCTGCACAAAAACCTGAAGAGCTTTGATCCTCTTCACTGAGCTGAAGGTTCATCTCAGGGACACCCATGTCACACTTTTTATGAATGAGTCATTCAGAATAAATTACTGCCCTAGTTCAAAAATTTCACCACCTCTTTTTCTCCTTGGCCATGATAGCCATATGGTGTTGTCCCCTCTATTTCCAAAGTACAAGGGTGTGTGTGTGTGTGTGTGTGTGTGTGTGTGTGTGTGGATTCTCATGTAGCCAAAACAGCATAATCCATTCACAAAAGAGTGGCATTAGCAAATTTTGGGATACCCAATGTTTCCCACAGTACCAAAATTGTGTTTGTTTGTTTGTTTGTTTGTTTGTTAAAAAAATGTAGAAAAGGATCTTTGAAAACAATGATTGTGGATTGCCAACTGAATATTACAAGGTGGAAATAGAAAAGTTTTGATGTGAG